TAACTTTATCTACAGCTTATTCCAAGATCTAGCTAAACCTGATGATTGAACATGAAAATGTTCAAAATGCCTAGGTAATCCAAGCGGATGTGGGAATGGGTACCTGTCAAAACTAGGGACCCACTCCCAACCAAAATAAAATTCTTCTTATACATGCAACAATTTTAGCTTTTTTTTTTTTTTTGCTAGAAAATTACTTAGAATCCCCAAACATTATATATTTTTTAAGCAGAAGCCCTGGAGAATAAAATAGCTGTTGTAATTTATTATGTCACACAATATTTGTGCAGCAGTTGTCAAAATCAAATTTTTCAAGAAAAAAATGCCCTTTAATGAATTTTAGTAAACACACAATATAATACTCAATTATTTGGTAAAATACTCTGCTCAAACAAATTAAAAGAACGCTTTGAAAACACATCAAATCTAAACGGGGAAAAATATAATGCTGGATATCTATACTGATATGGACTGGGTAATAAGTTAAGAACGTAAGGATGCCCCATCGTTTGATGGAAATGAAAATTATCCACCTACAGAGGACTGAATTCAAAGATACCCTGAAAAAAGTGAAAAAATTATGCATGAGGCTAGTCCATTTTGCTGACATTTCATTGCAGCAACTCAGAATGGTACTCACTACCACGTGCTTGTATGCATGTCTGACAACATCTGGGCATGCTCCTAGTGAGACGACAGATGGTATCCTGGGGTATTTCCTTCCAGATCTGGACCAGGGCATCACTGAGCTCATGGACAGTCTGAGGTGCAACCTAGTGGCATCAGATGGACAGAAACATGATATCCCAGAGGTGTTCTCTTGGATTTAGGTCAGATGAGCGTGGGGGACCATTCAATGGTATCCATTCCTTCATCTTTCAGGAACTGCCTACAACTCTCACCACATGAAGCCGGGCATTGTTGTGCATCAGGAGGAACCCAGGACCCACTGCACCAGCGTAGGGTCTGACACTGGGTCCAAGGATTTCATCCCGATACCTAATGGCAGTCAGGGTGCCATTGTCTAGCCTGTAGAGGTCTGTGCGTCCCTCCATGGATATGCCTCCCCAGACCATCACTGGCCCACCACCAAAATGGTCATGCTGAATGATGTTACAGGCAGCATAATGTTCTCCACGGCTTCTCCAGACCCTTTCACGTCTGTCACATGTGCTCAGGGTGAACCTGCTTTAATCTGTGAAAAGCACAGGGCGCCAGTGGTGGACCTGCCAATTCTGGTGTTCAATGGTAAAAATGCCAATTGAGCTCTATGGTGCCAGGCAGTGAGCACAGGGCCCGCTAGAGGACGTTGGGCCCTCAGGCCACCCTCATGAAGTCTGTTTCTGATTGTTTGGTCAGAGACATTCACACCAGTGGCCTGCTGGAGTTCATTTTGTAAGGCTTTGGCAGTGCTTAACCTGTTCCTCCTTGCACAAATGAGCAGATACCAGTCCTGATGGATTAAGGACCTTCTACGGCCCTTTCCAGCTCTCCTAGAGTAACTGCCTGTTTCTCCTGGAATCTCCTCCATGCTCTTGAGACTGGGAGACATAGCAAACCTTCTGGCAATGGTACGTATTAATGTGTCACCCTGGAGGAGTTTGACTGCCTGTGCAACCTCTATAGGGTCCAGATATCGACTCGTGCTACCAATGGTGACACTGACCCTAGCCAAAATGCAAAACTAGTGAAAAACAATCAGAAAAGATGAGTAGGCGGGACAAAAAATGTCAGTGGCCTCCACCTGTAAAACCATGTACATTGTTGCAATCAGTATACTTTTTATATTAACACCAAAGCAGCTGTAACTGACTAACAACCCCTATGTGTGAGCGCTTGCATTTATGCATGGGGGTGGGGGCAGTGCTTTAAATGTTTTCTAATTTAGTAAACTTTTTTGCGCACACTGTACCTTTTTGGTTTTTAAGGCAATGCTTTAAAGACTTTTACAGGCTACAGTTTAGAGTTACACAGGATGCCTGGCGCTAGAATTATTGCTCTTCCTCTGAAGGGCGATGAACCTCACATGTACATGCCTTGTGTGCAGGACCTATGGTGCGCTGATTTACGCAGGTCCTTTAAATTCTATGGAAAGATCTGGCATCTGTTCAATTCCTTTTATCTGTCTGGCCACCAAAGCATCTTATCAAAACAAAATGGGTTTGAGCAGCTGCTTTACAAGTTGGTAACAGTTTGTAAACAAAACTGAAAAAAAATTGAAACCGAAAGTGGTGAAATCCTTGTTGCTTTCCGTTTCAGATATCATGGGGGGGGGGGGGGGGGGCACAGCGAATTCCCTCTCATTCTGTTCACAGCATCAGATGTGAATGTTCAGATCTGGTACAAGGCTTCCCGTTGGGATGGTAGAGCCTGATAAATCTGGCGGGTTCCCGTCACCTGTAAAAGTGATAAGGTGCCAATGTAGCTGCTCAGATCACGTTTACATTGTGCAAAATTGCCAGCGTCAAAAAATATCTTCACTGCTGCATCTGCAGTGATGTTGGAGATATTATCGTTCCCATCCATGGACATGTATATACGTAGGGCAGACAGGAAGCTGTTACCTCAATAAAATCATGTTTTGGCAAAAATATCCATTTTCCAATATCCACTTTCCAAAGAAGGTCTTTTTGGGGATGTTTTTTTTTTTTTTTTTTTCTGACATTTTAGGCTCCATGCACACTAGCGGTTTTTTAGCTTAAAAAACGCTGGTAATAGCATTTTTTTTGGTAGCATTTAGGAGCACTAGCTTTTTGTTAGCATTTTTACAGTACATGTAGAGGAAAAAAAAAGCTGTTGGGAGCGTTTAGCGTTTTTTTTTTCTGCTGGAAAAACGCTCCAAAAAACTATTCAAAACCAATATTTTCTTCTGCTCCTTGACTCTGAAGCACTCAAAAAATCAAAAAATGCTAATAATAATCTAAAGTAGTGTGCATGGACACATAGGAACACTATTTAGTCTATCTATGTAACTATGCAGAAAAATAGCCTGCCAAAGGAGTGTAACATTGTATCTATATTGAGATGGTTATATATAGATTCACCTGCACCAAAAGCTGTGCTTGCATGCAGGATAAGGCCTCTTGCACACTGCAGCTTGAAAAAGCTAAGTACAGTGTTCCTTTTAAAATGCAGCCCATTGTTTACAAGCACTGTGTATTCTGGAGTAAAAAAAAAAAAAAAGGGAAAATCTGCATTCCCAGTCATTATTTTGTGCCGGTACGAGCATATGTGCGCTTAAGAGCATAAATATTAATGGATTTTTATAGGAATGTATTGTGCGGGTGAATGCGCATACACACAAAATAAACACCTGAAATTACGTCCACAAATGCTGATGCTCAAATATCAGTACCATGTGCAAGAGGCCTAAAAGGGCCCTAAGTAAACTAAAGGTGGTGTCTCCATTCTTTAGATTTTAGTGGCTTTGCTATTGCCAAGCATTTTTTTTCAGCATTGCAGTTTTGTTTGCCAGTTATTATGACACGTTCATGTTTTATTAAAGAGCTGTTATGGGAAATTATATAGTCTATTAAGCTTTCTTTTTTACCTTTTTTCTTTTTTCCTTCATTAACATAAAATCAGTAGAATTGCTCACCTTTGTAGGAAACCGATTGCTTATTGTTACATCATGCTGTAACCAAGAACAGTATATGAGTCTTATTTAGCTGGGCTAATTTCTGCCTTCACACGTTGACTTTTCTGGGACAAATCATTGCAGAAAACAAATGCTGTTCAATATGCAATAGTATTTATATTTTCCAAAAAGTTATTTTTATTGCAGGCATATGAAATAATGTTTTTACACACTGCTCAGAACATAATGGCAAAGAAGGTTTTCGAAAAAATTGTGTACCTGTCTTACAGCAAAGGAGTAGACCATATCATACATCATTTACATTAGGTATCCTATTATTATCATCATGTCCTCATTTTACAATGTAGAAGCAGAGCATGGGATCTTCGCTTGAAAAAAGACATCAGTGGAGTCTATTTTAAAATACTAGTTTAACCACCTTCCGCCCGCCCTATAGTACAATGATGGGTGCAAGGTGATTACATATATGACCTCCTTATACCCTCAAAAAGTCAATACTTTCCACCCTAGAAAGTGTTAAATATATACAAAAAACCTTTTTGGTGATGCAATAAATCCCACATTAAATTCAAAATCCTAAATATACCAAATGATCTAATATAATATAAATACACCAACTCAAAATAGTCCAATGTGAACTCCAAAATTATGCCCAAAAATTGTCCAAAATAAATCCAATATAGTGTCCTAATTTCAATCTTTTTCCTCCAATCTGTGAAAATTATTCCTCCAAACACGTACCTCGAGAAATAAAAATAAACAATCTAGTGCAATTCAATTAATTAGAAAAAATCACCCCGTGAAACTCCACACTTCACTGCAAAAGTATATCTATTTGTGAAGAAAAAAAAAAAAAAAAATTTAATTATACCAATCTTATTTTATAATAGTGCAAAAACCACATCAATCAAAAGTGTGCACACTCTGTGATCACTGCTGCACAGTGAATTCCTTCAACCACCACACAATAGTACAAAATACTATTACCCTCTATGTGTGTAATTAAGGCTCTACCAACATTATGGATCAGTAATCTTCCAAAAATCTTCTTTTGGGATATTTCCAGGTCCTCAGAGAAATAAATGGTCTTAGGAGCAATATTCAAAACATAGGGATAATATTTATTAGTAACTCACACTTAAGAATTGGATTATCAGCTCCAGCTATGGTTTCTGTCCGCTTAAACAAACATTTCCTCCACCATGTGTATTGACAACCTAAAAAATGGCCGCGGCGACACTTCCGGTCTGCAAGGTGGTTCTCTCGTTCTGATAGGATGTCATACGATGTCCTACCATTCTCACTGCGCATGCGCGGCTCAGGGAGCGCGCAGCACGGCGATCGCCTTTGCGCTGTGTCCCTTGGACACAGCGGATCACGGAAAGAGCCGAAGATGTCGGCTCAGTCATGTGATCAGCTGTGTCCAATCACAGCTGATTACATGTAAACACGGAAATGCCAGTCATCAGCATTTCTCTCCTCTCGAGCTGTCACGCTGAAAGCTCGAGAGGAGAGCCGGTAATCGGCTTTCCGCGGAGGGGACATGTACACTGATCATCAGGACACTGATGATCAGTGTGCCCTGATGATCAGTGTGGCCCCAGAAGTGCCATGTGCCAGTGCCCATCAATGCCACATATCAGTGCATACCAGTGCACATCAATGCCACATATCAGTGCCCATCTGAGCTGCCTTTCAATGTCACCCATCAGTGCCAGTCAGTGTCGCCTATCAGTGTCATGTATCAGTGCTGCCTTTCAGTGCCCATCAGTGATGCCTGTCAGTGCTAATCAGTGCAACCTACCAGTGCCTCCTCATCAGTGCCACCTATCAGTGTCCATCAGTGCAGCCTATCAGTGCCCATCACTGCAGCCTCATTAGCGCACATCAGTGAAGAAGAAAAATCACTTATTTACAAAATTGTATAACAAAAAAACTAAGAAACTTTTTTTTTTCAAAATTTTCAGTGGATTTTGGTTTGTTTAAGAAAAAATAAAAATCCAAGAGGTGATTAAATACCACCAAAAGAAAGCTCTATCTGTCTCAAAAAAATGACAAAAATTTCATATGGGTACAGTGTTGCATGACCGCGCAATTGTCATTCAAAGTGTGACAGCGCTGAAAGCTGGAAATTGGCCTGGGCAGGAAGGGGGTATAAGTGCCCTGTAGGCTAGTGGTTAAAGGAGGAAATCAATCAACAAATTCCTCTAAGTTTACCCCAAACAGAATGTTTGTTTATTTTCCAATATTTTTATTGTAATTTTTCAAATTACAAATAATGCAATGGACAAGTGTCGTGTTATAAAAGAAGGTGTCGAACATCACCAAAAAACAGCTGGTTGAATAAACAACGGACATACCTTAGGGAACCAGAAAGTCTGTGCTATAATAATTGGATAGCTCAAATATAAAATTCCCAGCATTAAGTCCACCATGTACAGGGGAAGCAGTAGTAGGAAACACATGGCTCACACAGAACAAGCATCATAGAAAACACGACAAATATTGTAGAACAAATAAAAAATGAACTCAACTAGCACCAAAAAACAGAAAGATAAGAGACAGTAGAAAGTGAGAAAAAGAGGGTAACAGAAACGAGAGGACAAGAGGGCCATATCGGGAAGTACTAAGGCATGGAGATGTATGGAATGCACAGGTCCCACGTTTTATCAGATCTGTTAGTATTATTGTGTAGACCACAGGTGAGTCTGTCGTTAATCATGAGCCAATTTAATTTGTTCTTAACATATTCAAGCGGAATAATTGATCTCTTCCAATATTTACCAATAGTGATTGTCGCTGCTAACAGCATATAAGAAAGCAATTTAAGGGGTTTTTTTGGTACTGTAAGTGGAAATTTATGGAAGAGGGCCGTCTCCGGGCCCTACAAACATTCACCCCTGTCACCGTGTAGATAAGGTTAAACATAGATCCAAAATCTAGTAACTATCAGACATTGCCACCAAATGTGGAACGTAGAACCCATCTGGCTGCAACGCCGAAAGCACATTGTTGAGGCAGAAGGATGCATCGTTGCTGTCTGGGTTGGGACCAGGTACCATTGCAATAGTGTTTTACAGTTTGCTTCAATTAAGGCAGTATTGATGGAAACGTTCAATAATGCCAGGCCTATGTCTTGCCAATCAGATCATAACTAACATTCAGGTCCCGGTCCCATTGATCCATATAGGGGAGTTTACAGTTTGGATCAGCAAGAAGGGCATACACCACAGAAATACCGCCTCTAGAGAGATTCATATTCTGACAGGAAAGTTCAAAATTGGTAAGAACGGGTGGTCCATCTAATAAAATAATTTTCGTGTGGATAAAAGAGGCAATTTGATTATATCTAAAAATTTTGGTGGGGGGGGCATCTGTAGTTTTCTTTTTAACCTCCCTAGCAGTATTCCTGAGTGTAGCTCGGGTAAAATGTCAGTGCCAAAAGCGGTAACCCTGAGCTACACTCGGGCTTACCATGCGGCTCTGCATAGGGAGTCCCTGCAGAGCTTACCTTGTCCTTCGCTCCCACGATGTGTCCCCTGCAGTGTCCCCGGCCATCTCCTCCGACCGATGCCGGCATCTGGCTTCTGTGTTCTGGTCCCTGTGACGGCGGTATGTACAGGCGGCGGCGGGAAATTTTGAAAATTTTAAAAAATTTAATTTTTTTCAAAAAATTGCTTTGTCCTGTGCCCTGCCTGCATTTTGTCTGTTCTTTCTGCCTGGAAACTGAGAAATGTCCATGGCGTCCAAAAAGTGTCCCTTTAGGTCAAAAGCGGGTTTAGATCAGCTAGAGAAAAGCGATAGTAAATCAGAACCACTTGCAGAATTGAGTGATAATGATTTGTGGGGAAATTCGTCATCAGACACTGAAAACGATTTTGCGACTTTGCTCAGCGATGTGCGAACTTGGCGCTATATTTCAAATTTCAGTGTTTTTGGCTTGATTATATTATTGAATTAAATGTATTATTATTATTATATTATTTTTTATGATTATTAAAATTATAATTTATGATTTCGTGTTTCAAATTTTATCATACCCGGGATGTTTAATAGACTCTTGTTCGGACAGATTTTAGTGAGTTATTCCTAAAAATTACAGGCCTACAATAAAAAAAAACTACATATTTCCATGCAAAATAATGGTACCGCTTTTCAGCACAAAAAATCTGAAATAATCATACCGCTAGGGAGGTTAAAGTACTGAGGAGGATTAACTCTGGCGCCCCGGAGGTAGTCTCCTATCCGCAGCAACTCTTTGTTGATCCACCACTAGAATGGGGTCAGGACCAGACCAGGTGCAAATTCAGGATTACAAAAAACAGGGGCTAAGGGAGTGGCTAATGATTTGCAATGGTGTACTCTATCCTAGACTGTCAATGAGAAAGACAGAGTAGGAGATAAGAGGTAAGATAGGGGGGCGAGATCTATTAGAGAGCCAAAGTAAGGAAGGAGCTTCAATCGAAACCCAATGGGGAGTAGATCCCTTGCGCAATTTTCCTTTTAGATTTACCAAAACCATATAATATGAGGTCACACTTAAACACTTTAAATTTTGTATGGAATCAGGCAGGCCCTTGCACTACATTATTGAGGACCAAGTAGGTTAATTGTTAACAAAAACACCAAGATGTTTGAATTTTATAAGCCTGACCGCCTTTAAAGGGATAGGCTCTATTGACTTGAGTAGGCACTCATTGCTGCACTGAAATTTGGAGGATAAACCTTTGAATCTGGTTGCTGGTGGATTCTTTGACTAAGGGTGCTTAATGTTTATTTTTTTTAATTTTTTTTTCTGTTTTTATTTTTTTTTTTTTTTGTTTTAAATATTAAGTGATCGGGCCTGTTGGGGTTATTCCTAAAGTTTAGCAGGTGATTGGGTTAGATTTCAAAATCTGATTCGATTCTGTTGAATGTTAAAAGAAATGTATATTAAATTTGATTTGGAAGAAAGAAATAATGGCTGCCATGGAGAGTATGCTGTCATTTCCACAATAGACAGTCATTCGAACTTCATTATCAGCAAATAACTTTTCATGGTTTATGTGCAAGTTAAATTTTTGCTACCTTTCCCATCAGGCTGTCTTGAATAATTAACCAGCTTGTTTGTCATGTGAGGATTGTAATCTTTTTCCTGAATCAGCAAAATAAATGCAGGTTAATTTTCAAATGATTCCCTTTAAGTCTGTTTGACTTAGAAATCACTTATGGAGCTGCTCTTGATTTGGATTACACGAATGACTTTTTATTTGGTTCTGTAGTTTTAAAGAGAAAGGTGGATGTATCTATACTGCACACAGGTGTTTGTAAGGTTCTCTCTCTCCATAGAAATGCCTCTGTGCAGGCGGCGTTGAGGAAAAACAAGTGTGCATGGCTACCCACCATTGAATGCTGTAGGCACCATAAAGAGAACCTGATGCCAGACTTTTCTTTTACATTTATATGCATTTTTTTTACCTGCATTTTTTTAGTTTGGTGAGTTTTTCTTTAACAATGAATCAATAAGTTAAAAAAAAAAATGTTTCATTACAAGAAGATCTTACAATTGTTTTTCAGTCAAATTTTTTTAATGTCATTACTTACCAATCAAGTTGAAGCTAATCTTTTGGCAAACTTAAAGCTCAACTTCGGAAAACCTAAAAGTCTGCTTTGTAGTGGGGCTGCGCCCACACAACAAGGACGAACTGTTTGTTTCTGCCTAGGAAGACCGTAAAAGCACTTTTGCCTACCGGACCCTCTGCTACCACGGCAGGTGGTGCTTTCTTGTGCTCCTGAAGTGGACTGTCACTAGGCGGTGTCCCGTCCAGTGGGTATGGACTGACCCTCAATCTGTGTTGATGTTGTCAGAGGACCTTAGACTGCCAGAGCATGGAGGAGAAGAAACTGCAGGGACCAGTCTAGCAGCATGGAGGAGCCTGCAGGAGCAGAGGATCAGAAAGTGAAGTAAGGGTCCATTCACACCAGCCAGTGCTTTTTACAACGCAATGGCTGATGTGCATTGTTGTCCAACGGGAATCGCCGCTCTGTGCCTCTTTATTTATTTCATTCAAACAAACTTTATTGAAATGTCAGACAGACATTTCATAAAGTTCAGTTGGCCGACACACAGTGTGAGGCCAACATGAACCAAAAAAAAAAAAAAGTAGTGCATGCAACGGTGTGAATGGAGCACGCAAGAGACAAAGCATTTTGTCTTGTCATGCACAAACCCACTGCAAGGAGAATTCTTAGGTTTCCTGGAGTTCATCTTTAACCCCCCCCCCCCCCACCTCTCATGCATTCAGCTCTTTTAAAAAAAAAAAAAAAAACCCCACTCTCTCACCCAAGTACATCATCTTGTTTCCCTAAGGCTCGGTTCACACCCACTGCATTTTTGTTTAGTGCTTTTTGCAGAAACACACTACAGTCCATTTAACATGGTCACCTATGGAACATGTTCACATCTATGCTTTTTTGAGCTGTTGTGTTTTTGGAAAGGGTCAGGGATTTGTTTAAAAACAAAAAGCAGCAGAGTTCAATGGAGAAGCTTCTGAAATGCATGATAGTGCGTTTTTGCAGCATTTTGTGTTTTGCATTTATTCTGCCCAGAAACAAAAACAATTCCACTTTTAACAAAAAAAAGCTGAACAAAATCCAGTAAAAACGCAAAACAAACTGCAAATTGCCTGTACGCAGGCAGTAACATGGGTGTTTAAGCGCCTCCCGTCTGCCACATAAGAAAGTGACAGATGGGCGACGGGTCTCTCGTTCTGGGAGGACATCATATGACGTCCTCCCACTCTAGCTGACATGGCGCGGCAGTCAGTGGTTTGCTGTGTCCC